TTCCATACAGGCAAATTAAGTAAATTTTATGACTTAAAGCATGGAACACTTGACCACAGGAAACACCTGTACATTCTTATACATTAATTAAGGGAGTTAAACTTTATATGTAACTTTTAAAATTGGACTCTAGTTAAATATTACGCAATTTACCAGGGCCTTCTTGTAAAAATAATAAATCAGTACGGAACCTGATTAGCTAAGGTGTGCATATTTCTTACACTGCGTCACAGGTAAAGTAATAGGAAATTAGTTTGGCATGAAATGGACTCACACATAAGCAGAAATCTTGTGACTAATTAAAAAATAATTGATGATGGCCTTTCTCTAGGTAGTTTTCTAATGATCAAAAGACTGAACTCATTTTATATTACTAAATAAGAATGTTCACTTAAGTTGTCAAGTTAGCAATGATGTTGCTGATGCTTGTCAGCAACAAACTTTGCATTGTGAGATATGCCTTAATTATTTAAAGAGGAAATTAAATGTTCTCCAGTGGCAAAATCTAAGTATTCTGGAGGACAAGCTGGCAAAAGTAAAGCCTTGGGTTGGTCTGTTTTTAATTTGACTATCAATGTCTTGAAGGGCATTGGAACAGTATTCAAGATAATTTAAAAATATAAGGGCTGCTATTGGTACTTGCATGACAGAGAGGGCAACGAGTGATTTTCACTCCCCCAACCCTTCCCTCTAGTCCCGCCAACCTAAGCAACTGTCCGTTCTCAGGCCATGCACACTGCTCCTTCTCCCAGACATGGCCCATCTTTACTCTCTGACTGGAAGCTGGCATTCATCTTGCAAGACCTATCTCTAGAATCTGTGAGAAATTCTCCAATCTTACTACAGCAACCTCTCTTCTTTCTACATTCCTATTTTCATTTGGAAACCCTGGTGGCATAGTGGTTAAGTGCTATGTCTGCTAGCCAAAAGGTCGGCAGTTCTAATCCACCAGGCGTTCCCTGGAAACTCTACGAGGCAGTTCTACTGTGTCCTATAGGGTCGCTAGGAATCGGAATCAACTCGACAGCAACGGGTAGAAGGTCTTTTTATTTATATTGCTAAAAGACTCATCATCCTCGACTATAGTTTTATGAGCATTCCCCCAAAGGACAGGATAACATACTTAATTACCTTAGTATCTCTGGATGTAGCATACGGTGGCTACTGATATGGGATTACTGTGATGATAATGTTTACCTGCAGACAGCCTGGCTGGAAAATAGATTTAATTTGTGATACTCACAACAAATATTAAAAATAAATAAATAAATTGCTCTTCAAAAAATACTTTCCCTTATTTAAGTCAAGAATAGAGAAAAAAAGCCCAGTCACTCTGTGTGAGAACGATTACCACTGTTTTACATAGCCTCATGTCGTGGCATAGCCAGTAAAATACTAATCTTCAGGTATCACAGTACTGAAGAAAATTAATTCACTCGAACAAGAAGGAACACTTTGATTTTATGAAAATACAGATGTGTTCCATTTTAAACAGTTCTAATTTAAAACTACTGGTGATAATTTAACAGTCACAATACCTTGTAATTTGGGTCCTAAAATATACTGGATTCTGTAATAGTATGCCACAGGATATTAGAAGTCAAATTTCTTCTGGTAATTCTATAACAGATCCTCCTCTCTACTCCAGAACCACCTGAACCCTGAAGGACTTTCTTAATATCTAATCACTTACTGTAATGAAAAGATGTTAGAAGAGGGCACAGCACAGCAAGGACACAGAAGGATTCATGATTATACTGGGTGTAAGCAAACTAGCAAGGAGCCCTGGTGGCGCAATGGTTAAATATTCAGCTGCTAACCAAAAGGTTGAGTTTTGAACCCGCTAGCGGCTTCATGGGAGAAAAGACCTGGCGATTCTGCTCCCGTAAAGAGTACAGCCTAGGAAACCCCATGGGGCAGTCCTACTCTGTCACACAGGATCACTGTGAGTCAGAAATGACTCAGGGTACACAGCAACAACAATAATCAAAGTAGCAGTAATGCCAGATCCTTCCATTTCTCAGGGTGAAACCCACTAAGAATTTCAGAAGAGGTGTCACCCCTCTTCTTCTCTAGTGGCAACCCCTCCAATGTATGCTTAATTTCATTCCTTTCTACAACATCTGTAATAGCATCTGTAATAGCACCCGTAATCACCTCCTCTCCATCCAACACCCTTAATCTCCCCTCTGCAAGAGCTCTCTTTAGCATACAAACATATATGAGAGAAATTTGTTCTATTTAATACTGACCTTTTGCTTTAAATTTCCTCAAACTTAGGGTCTAGACATGCTGCTTCTAATTCCCAACCTTTTACTAACATTTGGTCCATTATTATCTAGTTCCTGCTCCCGGTACCTTTTGAGAATCTTCTAGTGGATATTCCTTCTAAACGATTAACCTGTACTCAGTCTTAATTCTCTAACATTCTCTAGTGGCATGTCATAGTGATGACCATTCCCTTCTACTCGAAATTCTCTTCCCTTGGCTTCCTCAATACTACATTTTACTATTCTCATTCTGTTTCCTCAGCTGATCTTCTTCCTCCTCCACTCTTATCAGAGGGCTTCTCCGAAGCTCTGTCCTTGGCTCTCTGCTCTTTTCCACGTATGTTCTTCTCTTGGACCTCTCCCCCCGAGCACCCTTCTCTCTCATACACTGATAACCCTCAAGTTTATTATCTGTACCTTTGACTTCTCACCTCTAATCTGCTCACGTATCTCCAACTGCTCATCAGACAGATGCAAAGAATATCCCATCAGACCCATCATCCTGTCAAATCCACCCAGGAAGTCATTCATTTTCCCCTTACCGTCACCCTCATTTCTCTCAGCAGTCTACTGTTTTTTTTTTTTTGTTTGTTTGTTTGTTTGTTTTTATTTTTGTGTTGTTTTGTTTTTAATCTCCCAGGCTAAAAAGCTTAAAGTTGTCTTCAACTAAACCCTCTCCTGCATTCTCTATTCCCTCTCACCAAGCCCCTTCCTTTCTTTCATCGAAATGTTGTCACTTGGATTCAATTTTTCATCCCCCCAAGTTCTGGCCTTTATTACTCTGCTCTGAGATCATCACTTTAACTTCTTAGCTCAGCTCCTGGACTATAGACTCTGTTCATTTCAATCTATTTTACACAGAACTGGTAGATTTGGTTTCCTAAAACAGTACTTTTAAAACGCAGAGCAGTTAAGTGACTTATCTAATGCCATCACCACCATAAGCAGAAGAGCCAAGAATGAAACTTAGCTCTGCCTCTTCCAAAGCCTAGGTGCTTTCCACTGCCCCACAGTGCTCCTTGGTCTGCCATTCAAAATCCAGACACAGTCTGCCTCACCAGTTCAGACAGAAATGATATGATTGCTCCCTGCTCCTCTGACCTTCCCATCTGGGGTTCTTGCTATTTCAGTCCTACTAAAAACATTTTTGTGACCCATGGTACATACACCTACCACTTACTTTTTCTGCCTCTTGGATTTATTGGGGAGCTGTTTTACCACAGACAGTAAGTGCTGCCAGCAGGCAGGGCCCTATAGAGCAGTTTTAAATGGAAAAAACAGGCATGTTCAGCAAATTACTGTTTTTACAAGGTATCTTATGAGATGGCGCTGAATCACTAAATTTTTGGTAGGAAGAACAGAAATTTTGAAAATTTTTATTTGGTGTACATATGTACCTCTGGACTCTGGCAGTAGAATTTGGGATGTTAAGGGGTATACATATGTACCTCTGGATTCCAAGGGTACAATTTGTGGGATGAGGCATAAAACAAAAGCCATATTACCTACTAAAAATTCAAACACACTCAATAATTCAACATGCTCTCCATTACTGAAAACACATAGTATCAACAAAAAACTAAAAAGAAAAAAAATTGGGTCTTGAAAGGGATAAATTCTGGCACCTGGTCCACTTAGGAGTAATTAAAGGATTCCTAAGAAAGCTGTTAAGGAATTCCATATCAAATCTGCCCTTTGGCCAGTTCTACTTAGACTTTACCCAATTCTGGTAACAAGAGTCTGGCTGTGTACTCTGCTCAGGTCCTGCTAACCTGTTTAGACTCAAGCTTCTATAACTCTCCAGCTACTGTCAAATCTATCCTGTTCCTAAATGAGCTCCAGGTACACTATTTTCAACCATTCTTCTACAAACCCTATCTGCCAGCCAAATAGAAAAAAAAGTTTTTTTCTCTCAAGATTTGGTTCAAAACTCCAGCTCCTTCCTGAAGCTGGCAAGCTATCTCTTTCTTCTTCAAGACTTAGCTTCACAATAGCCAGTCAGTAAGATGTGCTGCATATCTACCGTCGGTCAGGCTCTGTGCCGTGCACAGGATGTCACGTGAATAGGCAAGTGGTTAAAAAAAATAAAACAAGTTCCAAAGTTATGACTTGCCTTAAATCAAATGAAGATGATTGTTTTAAATGCATCATTTGACAAAACTAAAAAAAAAATCAAAATCAGCCCTCAATTTGTACAGGTTTATTGGATAAAAATTCATAGCTAAATTAATTTGCGTTTTCTTTCCTCAAATCAAAATTAAGAAAGCACATCTCTACACAAACATACTCTTCTTCTAATTCACATCTCTTTAGGATAATTATACTGCCATCTAGTGTCTATCACAGCTAAGAAACTGTAAAATCAATAAAAACCATTCTAAATAAGGACTGAATCATAAAATTTTTATGTATCTAAAACATGTAACACTGTCCAATGAACAAATGTTATGTGCTTGCATTCAATAAAATAAAATCTTTGTCTTACAACTCTGAGATTACAAGCACTGTCCTTAAAACTACATTTAAGTCGATCAACAACAGATGAGTTGCCAGGTTCACAAGCAGCAGGTTATTTGAAAGGAACAATTCTAACACATTGCTTAAGAAAAGAAGCCTGGAATTTATTTTTCTTCCATAGGATGTGAAAGTACAATCACCCTTTCCATGAACTACTTGAAACCTAGCAATGAGAGGTTAAAAGAAATAACACTTAAGGAAAACTGGGCTTACCTGGAAGTGCAAAATTATTGTCCATATTAGCCCCAACGTCAACTTGGGATTTCCATCTGTTATGTCGTCATTTCTAATATTCACTAATTTCACCTGTTTTATATGTTAAGAAGAGATAAAACAAAGTGTTTTTTCAAACCAGCACGTGTATTATCTTTACCTACATAAAAGCAATTCCAAATTATACACAGAAAGAAATGATTTAAATATCAGCAATCCTCCTTATCTCCCCTCTTCAATCATTTCAGATTGAAAATTACAGAGTAACCACAAAGGTAAAAAGGTATTATTTTGGTTTTGACCTCCAGGGCAAGTACTAAAAGCAATCACAGGTAAAAACAAATAAACAACTCATGTGAAAAGTCCTAAACAGAAATAATTTTGTCTTTTGAAAATAAGTTTTATTTTGCTCTCATCGTTAAGTAGAAAACTGCTCTGAATTCTAAAATAATTTTAATAACTTTCTCATACCTCTGTCACAAAGGTTAAAAAAAGTAGCAACATTTTTTTATTTATCACAAATTGTTACCATAGACAAATAAATAAATAAGTCACTGGACATTTGCAAGCATGCTCAAATATAAAAAATAAGACAATACTGAGACTTAAAGCTTATCAACTGTCAAACTGTGTATTCAGGTAAACAAATGTAATAGTAGCATCTAACATTTTATTTCCTGGATAAAATACTGCCGAAAACATTTTGGACAAGGAGATATAATTACCTATTAATCCTTATGGAAACTTTCACCAGGTTGAAACATAACAAGGCAAACACTAATAAAATTTAAGATATTTAAGCACTGAGCATTTACTAGCATTGAATAACTATGAGCATTTTAACATTTATAGTAAATTAAATGAAAGAAAAACAGAAGCTAGTATTTCTCTCTCACTCTTTTCCTACTCCATTAAAAAACAAAATTGCTGCCACCTTTGATTTTTCATTGTTTTCAGTCATTTTTAATTCTCCTCCATTTCTTTTCCTCCTGTTTTTCTAATTGAAAAATTACTAATACATTGGCTTATGCCACGATAATTCACCCTGCCACAATATCGGGATCATATCCAATATGGTGCTCATTCTTTTCTGTGATTTCTCCTGAAACTTCAAGCTAGTTGGGGACTATTGTCTGAAGTGGTTTATTTTTAACCACTCATAAATTACCTAATATTATCTATTAAAAAAAAACCTGCCTCGTCACTATTATTAAAAATGCTTATATTAAGTTTTAAAAGAACTGTTCATAGGCATTCTTAACATTGTATTGCTACTACAATGTCATTAACTTCCTAGGTAAATGCACTCTACTTCAAACAGATGGAAAAATCAGTAGCTAGTACTCAGATGGAAATGTAACCACTTACAATTCCTTTAGGCTTACATCTACTGTTAACTTCCTTTTCTTTGGAGCAAATGTTTAAAAACATTTTTTAAATATTTGCCTTACCAAAGGGCAAGCTTAATGATTATAATTCACAGGTAAATTTAACCTTTTTCATTCCCCGACATGTTTCTGTGCAGATTTACTTAAGTCACATATGTTTAAATGATTACAGTCTTTGAAAAACATCATACCTGGTGTCTTTTCAAATAGTCAAGTGCAATTTGTACATTCTGTAGTCTGTGAAAACGCATCCGACCTTTCTCTCTGGGCTAAGAATAGAAAAATGCAGGGTATAAAAAACACTGTAATTTCTGATACCACTGCCCACGCTAAATTAAACGTATTTTCTGCTCATAATATGTGAAAACAGTATTTACTCTTTAGGTAAACCCACAAAATTTTTAAGAGAAACCTTTAATTTCTTTGTATTATCTGGGCTTGCATTTAAACCACTAGCGATTATTCCAAATATGTTTTTTTTTAAACATGCTTTATTCCAAATACTTTATTTAAACAAAAGGAAAAGAGAAAATACCACAGAACATACTAACTTTTTATATTTGCTAACCGTACAATTCCAGCCCACATTTATTAGCTATGGATGCAAAAATGAATTAAATACCATCCCCCATTTTACCTTCTTGGTATACACTAATTTCTAACAAGAGGGTTTTTATAATTATATATGTATTCCACATTAATGAAAATGAGGTAAAGTAGCATGCAGTTAATATAAAAAACACCAAGAAGTAGAAAGACAGAGGAGGCTTACTTAGCCATAATACAGGAAAAGAGAAAAGCAATTAATATCATATTACTCCTACTTATTTTAGCTTTCTCATAAAATTAGCTGGACTCTTTAATAATCAGAAAGAACTCAGGAATGAACATAATTATTTTCTCAGTCTCGGGAAAACTGACACACCATGATTCTTTTCCTTGATGCTGTTTCCCTTAAAAAAGTTACAAGTTAGCAGAAGGAAACAGAGCTGAGAAAATAAATGTTTAACAAAAATACAAAGAATGGAGCTGAAATTTACCACACAAAATCTTCCAAAGGGGGGAAAGGAAAAAAAAAAACTGACAGCTTAGCTGCTCAAATACGAATATGTTGCTGAAGCCAAAGGCACCATAATAAAACAGACAGCAGACCACAGAAGGGAAAAATAAGTTCTGTATAACGAGTAGAGATGATGTGGTAATTCACTCACTGGATCCAAGAAAAGGACAATCTTCAATGAAATTGGGGGGCACTAGGGATGTTTGTCTGTCTTACAAAGGTGGGTTCAAGTCAACTAAGTGTTATGAGATTAAACAGCTCTGGGAGCACTATCAGGACTCTAGATTTTCAAATTTATAGCATGAGATATAAGACATGTAAAGAATGTCCATCAAACACCTATTGCCAAAAGGATATGATTTAAAGCAGAAATTTAAATAATATGTAGAATTTCCATAAATCCCTTCAAAAAAAGCAATCTACAGTTGCCATGTTTAAAATATCAATTTCAAGAGTAGAATGAATTTGCATAAAATTATCAAGGTAGGTGTAAGGTTGGTGTATTTATATAAAATTATTTAGCTAAAATGCCATCATGTAATTTATGCACATACGTTCATTTACCATGCAGTGCACAGTAACATAAATAATCATTTTAGCTCTCTGAAGATAAATTTAAAGAGAAAGTATTCCCTTTGTCCAACTTTTCAGTACACACACATCTACCTCACTATGGGGTTTGGTCCTTTCTGTACTTTTCTAAAAGGAACCCGAACCCGCGGGTTATTTCTCTACCAAGTTAGCGCTCACCGCACTGGAACAGCTAGGTTAGTAGAGTTATGGGGGCCGACACCTACCCCCTTATCCTCATCCTCCACATCCTCATGCTGCTCATATTCGCATGCTTCTGTTGCACTCACCAATCGTAAGGTCTTCAAAAAATCTCGCTCCCTTGGCTAATGAATATAACAGACAGAAGATAGGACAGCAAAGACACAAGACAGACCAGAAATGAAAAGAAGAGCATGAACAGAACATAATGAAGGAGAACAGGTAATCAAGAAGGGAAGTATGTTCACAAAAAAAGGAAATGACACCAGCTGAATGGGTTAGACCATTTTTCAGAAAGCGATGTTTATTTCCTTGCTGTTTGTGAGTCTTTTAATATATGGTTATATTATGCATCCAACTTCTGCTAAGCAGAACCAAAAGGTAAAAAAGAAGCAAGAATAAAAATAGTATTTTAATCATAGAGCTGATTATATAAGCAAAGTAATCAAAATGCATCACTCTCTCAAATTCCCATCATTTGAAGTCTGAAAATGCTCAGCAATCTACCCAGAACTCTTTTTTTCAGGCAGAAATCACAGCTTAAAGGATGAATTTACAAAAATCTGAACAACCTGTGCTGAAAACACACTAGTCGTATGCACAGAGTATTAACATGTACTTTAAAATAAATTGGGAAATTTGAAACTTACCAAGGTATCTCCTGAAAGAACCTCTAAAAGAGAGATCAAATTGTGTCCATCCCTTAAGTCTTCATAGAGGTCATTCACATGCTTTCGAACCTACACAGAAAAAAAGCAAATTCAAACATTTGGTTCTCTTCTCTATGATCATCTAATAACACCCTTAAACAAGAAAGGGGAGAAGTAGAAAGCATTCCTTGTATGGTATTCATGCAGCTATTTTTTTTTTTTTTTTGTACCTTCTCAGTTAAAAACCTAGAAGTAAATTTCAGATGAGTAGCTTATGAAAACAAGTAGAAATCTTAGACATTTCTAACACACTAGAATAAATATAAGCCAGGACAACTACACAGAGTCATATTTTTAAAAAATATAGCCAATGCTCTGAATTTATCCATGAATCCTGATACATCAACCAAAAGGCACCTTAATAAGAGGGTTAGGTTTTTATTCCCTACTCAGTCTTCCTACTTACTATCTAGCCCACAACAGAACCAAGGATGCCAGAGCCACACACTCCACTTTTTAAGAATCCACAGATATAAGCTGGGTGATGGTACGTGAGACTCTATGTACTATTTTTGCAACTTCCTGTGACTTTAGAGGAGCCTGTAATTATTTCAACCTAAAAAGTTTTTTCATTTGTTTGTCTTAAATCCATACGTGTCAAGTTTGAAGGACTCTTTCCAAACCTTCCTCTGCACAACATAAATCTGTGGCAGAGGTTTTCAGAACCACATAACACGAGCAAAGAATTAACACTCAAGCTATAATAGCTTCCCCTATTCCAGAGGCCTGATTTAAGCCTGTGATTTTAGAGCTCTACCCACCAAAAATGCCCCAAAAGCTTTGTTCAGTCAGCCAAGTAGGGCTCTCTCCTAAAAGTCAAGCTTCAGTCCGTAACTACTTGGCCTTCTGCAAGGATCATGCTAGAAAGATAAGTATCAAAGCAGCCTACTAAGATGGCTGTTCCACAGTCAGCTGGCACATTTACATTTTCTCACTTTTAAGTCATTCTGAGTTGCATTACTTTGGTATAGCTTCAATTAAAAGAACCAAAGAAGTGGTCTAGAAAGAGGCAGGGGCCAGAATCCTATCTACTTCGCATTTGGCTCAAGCACTATATACTTACTATCGTTTAGAGTCAACTCTGAAGGTTTACATGAGTCAAATTTCCTTGCACTTCCAATATGTCAAGTGAGTATATAGCACCAAGTAATAAAAAGATCTAAAATACGACCAAAAATATCTGACTACACAGTAACAGGGAAGAAAAGGCCTAATGTAAGCTGAAAGCAAACCTTTGTGACACCTTTCTCCAAAAAAGTAGCTTAAATGCCATTAAACTTTATTATCTTAGTTGACTATACACGTTTTGCAATGTCTTTTATTGGTGTCAGAATAATATTTTTGACAGATGAAGAAAAAATTCCCTCAGGAGTTTCATATCAAAATCACCAGCTCCTACACCTAATGTTTTGGGAATCTTTGCCTAAGTCACAGAATCTAACATTCAATCACCCCTCTATGCTTCAGTGGAATACAAGCACATGATCAGGATGGGGCCTCGCATGGCAGTAACCAGCACAGTAGTGAAAATTTCATGCTCTTCTGGTCCATTATACCCACACCCTGCCAGAGTCACATATCACTCTGTATTCCACTTCCTGTGTCTTTCTCACTCCAGGATGTTGTGTGATTCTGAACACTTACTTCATAGGCAGGCGATTTTATAACTTGCCTTGCCAGAATAAACTAAACCCTCCACCGTCAGGGAAACTCTCCAAACAAGATTATCATTTTTCACCATCATATTTATGCAGCAGTAAACAGAAATTAAGTTAGGCATACTTAGAGAAGAAGAAGAGTAATAATCTGCCATGCAAAAACAAATCAGGGAAAGAAAACATCATAAGAGAAAAAGAATTTTCTCTTGCATTTCCATCCTGCTTCTGCAATTGGCCTTGTGAACTTGCACCAGCTGCCCAACTTCTGTGTACCTCAGTTTCCTTATCTGCAAAATGAAGATGTGGCAGCAGATGGCCTCTAGTTCAAACGAGAGAATAAAAACTCTATGATCTGCAAACAAAGCTGTTATTTTTAATCTATGCTTTATCAATTTAAAAGAAAAATGTATAAAATGGAAAGCTACTCTTAAAACTTATGGTTTAATTTCTTAAGATTTTTAAAAGAAAATACAGAAATAGACTAACTTAATTTCTATAATGGTTGAAAAATCCTGAAGTCTGATACTGTCTGTTTTTCCTAGCTCAGGTGATTATTCTGCGGGTCCACAGAATAATGTACAGAAATACTGCATAGAAATAATGTACAGAAGTACTGTACATTTAAAAATGCTATACAAACATGATATCACTACTATATCATCATTCTATGAAAAGCACATGTCACCATTATTAACAAAAATGCATACATGTTATTACTAGGTACTTGACCCTGCGCTAAGTGTTTTGTAAATATTAGCTCATTTCCCTAAGAACAAACAAATGGGACAAAAAAGAAATGTCTTAAAAATCAATACTATAGGAAGGAGGTGGTGGTGAATGAACTGAAGGAAAAAATATTAGGGTTCTAGAGAAATTTTTGATCAGGTGAGCAATTTAAGGGGAAGAAAACATGAATAGAAGAAGGAAAATGAAAATTAAGCTGACACAGAAAAGCTGTCTATCTTGTCCTAAGTCTGAGTCATGGACATTAGATCTGGTAACTTTCCTTCACAGATGACTATACCACTGCCAGTAGTCTTAACTTTCCATTTGTAATGTTTAATAAAACATTCTTTCTTCTCTTCTGGGGTATTTTCTCCCTGTGGGACAAAAAAACTGTCTAGATAAATAGACAAAGTGATGAGCAAAATAAATGCACTAAGACGCTCTGGGATTAAATTACATAACTTAAATTACGTAATAAGGGTGCAGCACCACTTTATTTCACACAATTCTCCCATAATTTTGCTCTGCTTTTCAAAACTGCACCTGCAGTTTACCCCTAGAGGGCACTAATCTTTTACTTTAGGGAATATTCTTTTTTTTTTATTATTGTACTTTAGGTGAAGGTTTATAGAACAAATAGTTTCTCATTACATAGTCAGTAGACATATTGTTTTATGACATTGGTTAACAACTCCACAACATGTCAACACTCTCCCTTCTTGACCTCGGAGGAACTTTCTTCTTTTTTGGTGAAAATATACACAGCCAAGATACACCATTTCAAAAATTTCTACATGTACAATTCAGTGACATCAATTATGTTCCTCCAGTTGTGCTGCTACTCTCACTATCCTTTTCCAAATTATTCCATCACCATTATCTTCCATTCACTGCCCTCTAGGCTTCACTTTAGGGAATATTCTAAGGAAGTAAAATAAGGAAGGAAAATAAATAGACTAGAAAATATTCTATGGCAAAAAAAAATCCTACACAAGATTCTGGTGATGAATAAACAATATTTAAAATTTATTGTGGAGAAAGAACAGAGTGGATTATGCCAAGTTTGTATCCTCAAAATGGCTTATAAATGATCAAAAATACTACCCCAAAAACACAACTCCAAAAAATTGTATTGTTAGCCTATAATTGTTCAGTGTCACATGAGCGAAATAAATTCTAATCTGAAGAAAAGAGGCTCATCATATAGCTGCTTATTTAATGTTTAAAATGTATTCCTTTGTCAAAAGTCTAAATTTGGAGTGGTTGATGTTAATCTGAATAAATCCCACAAAAATTTTACCTTCCATATTTAAACATCTTGCTACCACGTAGCCACAATTCAGTTCAGGCCACTAAACATTTATTTAGCATCCATTCTATGCCAAAACCAAAACCAAAACCAAACCTATTGCCATCAAGTCGATTCTGACTTATAGCGACTCTACAGGACAGAGTAGAACTGCCCTGTAGGGTTTCCAAGGAGGGGCTGGTGGATTTCAACTGCCAACCTTTTGGTTAGCAGCTGAGCTCTTAACCACTCCGCCACCAGGACTCCATTCTATGCCAGGGTATTGTTTAACTTCTAAGGATACAAAGATGAATAAGAGTACCACCTCTTGAAGACCGTAGTCTAACCGTGATGACAGAAACTTAGAGAGGAAATTTCAGCATAAAGTAAACATAGTCACAGCATGTGCAGAAAGCTATGGAGGAGCTTTAACTGAATCTGGGTCTTAGAGATGCTCTCAGAAAAGAAGATGAGACTGTTCCAGGTGGCAGAAAGAGCAAGGACAATGGAAAAAGGCAAGGATGCATGAAACTGTATGGTACGTTCCGAGAAAGAGATGCAGTCTGTGAAATCTGAAGTGTGACGTGGAAGATGAGGCAGGAAAGTAGGCCAGGAGACATGACAGGCTGTATATGCCCCATTACGAAGCTTGGCTTTTCTAAGCAAAGAGAATGTCTGAAGGCTTTTAAGCAGGACAGGACAAAGTATCTCCAAAAGATATAAAGGCTCCTTGAAAATGTTTTATCATCTTACACAAGTAAAACTAAGCGTCTAATCTGTACAGCAAGATGAAAAAAGGTCCCCCAGGAAAAAGCAAATTAAAAAGGAGATTCAGTCAATGAAGCTTGGGTAAAAACCACACATCCAACACAGCAGCAGAGAACAAAATATCAGCCACATAAAGAATTCAGCCCTCTCTTAAAGACGTTCTACATCTGAAAGATACAGTATTCTAGAAAACAATCAGCTATCTTTAGAAAGGAACATAAATAATGAAAGAAGGCTTGTCCCAGATGAGATCGCCTCACTGCCTTGTACTATCTGGGTGAAGACTAGGCAGTCAGCTTTAGTGAACACTAAGAATTAAAGTGTTTCTCCGTGCAATTTTTTTTTTAGTTCAAATATATTCATGCAAAATAAGCTATTAAGTTCCCCCCAGGAGAGCTCCTTAGAAGTCTTAATTCAGTTATTAAATAAAAATAGGGTATTAATATATTATCATATCAATTACTGATAAGTAAATTGATGCTTTCAAAATACACACTTAGGTAGTTGCCCTATCTGAACAGTTTTATTACCAGTCTATTTCAGTACTATTTCTTAAGGAGTTGTGAAAGAATAAAATTACAACCCAGACT